CTTTTAATTGAGGCATGTTTCCTGATTATGCTGAGAAGAAAGCAATCAGGTTTTTTTTAAATCCCCTGAAGGCAGGGTAGCTTTATTTATTTTTGTTACACCTACATATCTACAAAAGAGAGAAGAAGAAAAGATAAAAAAAATAAAAAAAACCCAAGAAAAGACAGTAAATAAAGAAACCCACTCTATAACTAAAAACTCAAGAAGAGAAGGTCTTTAAAAGTTAGTCATAAAATTTAAAACTTTCTGTTTAAATGAATGAATTTAGGAGTTAGTGAGTCCAATTTAGTAATTGTCCCTTTTCTTCTCAGTGTGCTCAAAGTCTCTTTCATCCATTTTAGCTGTACACCTTTCAGTTTGTGAGAGTTACTTGGGAACTCTTAGACGCAGATCGTACATATCTCTGGCCACACCTCCTACTGCTCCTTCTGGGTCTTCATCCATCACTTCCAGGCTGTCTGCTGGGCCCCCTCCTTCTTGCTGCTCTTGCTTTTCCGCTCCAAAAAACTGCTTCAACCATTCTTCTGCTTTAAACACTGAATCAATTTTTTCTCTTTTATCCTTGTATTTAAACTGCACCCCTTCTGGAAAGAGCCAGGCATAAGAAATCTGGTTGATCTGAAGCGTTGAGATGAGTTCTTTATATGCTTTTCTTTTCTGTCGAACCTCAAAAGGAGTATCTTTCAAAATCCTGACAGTTGTTGATCTCAGCTGCAAGGGGTTGGCTGCTGTCGCTTTAAGGATGTCATCTCTTGTCTGTCTTCGGAGAAACTTGACTACGATCTCGCCCGGCATATTGTGTTGCTTAATATATTTAGAATAAGATCGATAAACCACTTCGATCTCAGTCGCCGCTTCAGCCGGTGAGTTGCCAAGCGCTGATACGATCAGCTCTACCGCGAGAAAGCAATCAGTTTTGATGGGTCCTTTGGCCCAACTGTTTTCCATATTTCATTACAATAAAATACAAGAACTTCCTCCTCATTTGACTTCATTTTTGACATGGAATCTAATATCTACAACAATCTGGTGGGCGATAACAAACTCCCAGTGTTAAGTTTCCTTTTGGCCCCCCTATTTCAACCCATAGAACTTCCAGAAGTGAATCCAATTCTCTTAGCCCCTCTATCTTTCTGGACTTTATACCCTCTCTGACGTACAGAGCCACCCCACCTCCAACCCCCCAGTATTACATTTTATACTGTTGGAACCCACCCTGAGCCCATTAAGGGGAGGGCGGGATATAAACAAAATAAAATAAATATTAAGCTTCAGCTATTTTTGATCTAGTTTCTGAAAGGGATGAGGACTGGGAAATAGCATCTAGCTGTCTCAGATATTTTACTGTCCTTAAATGAGAAGTCTCAATGCAAAGAAGGGGATTGTGTTACAGAAAATACAACAAGTGAAAGAGAGAGGATGACACACAGGAAGCATTTGCCCGTATCACTGGATAACTTTTAATGTCTTGACGCCACTGGCCATGATAAACAAAGCAAGCACTGCTGGCAAAGATATTATGAATGACTGGTCAATCTTTGCAGTTCAAAATCTTTCCTTCTGTAGTCAAAACCCACAGCATGCCCAGGTCATAGGATACATGCTTGATCTGTCCAAGGTAATTGCCCAAATGTTTCCAAGTGATTCCAATGGGATTGCCAGCACTGATTCCAACCCTGCAAGAAAATTTAACAAGAATATCCCAAGGATTAACGTTTTGCTTTGTAGCTGTGGGATTACATTTTTGAATTGTGTCTTAAATATACACAAGTACTATAGATTATAAAGTTGAAAAAACTGCTAGAGATATGCATTCTATGAGTGCAGTGAGATACTAAAGTCTCACTTCTAGGACCTGAAGTAAACCCCTTGCTAGTTCATACGTTGCTTACTTTTATAGCCAGGACTTTATAGGTGTCTGGCAAAAATTGGCATTGGAACATCCATTATAAATCCAGGTGTGAGGGAGAGGACTAGCTGGTTATAAAAAGTAATTTGGTATGCCAGGAAAAACCATGATATTGCCTGGGCTTCTGCACACCTTTTCTGGGCTCTTTGCTCTAACTGCCAACTACCCTTCCTCCTCCTTTCCCCTGTCTACTATCATCCTTCTCCCCTCCCTCTCTACAGAAGACTCCTTAATGTGAACATCTTTGGTGTGTGGCTGCCCATTTCCCAGCCTTTCTCCATGTAATTAAATCTTAATGTTTTCAGCCATCAGGTTAGGCTTGTGGCAACTGGACAGGTGGTGTTAACCTGTCATCTCCCTGAGCTACTTTCCTGCTGTAATTTGGAAGTGCTGCTTGTCTCATGGAGGAAAACCTAAAGTACCATATGGCGCTCCTGCAGGGAGATCCTTTCTCAGATTTCCTCAGGCTTGTGTAAGGTAAAGGTAAAAGTTCCCTTGCTCGAAAGCCAGTCGAGTCCAACTCTAGGGTTGCGGTGCTCATCTCTGTTTCAAAGCCGAAGAGCCAGCGCTGTCCGAAGACATTTCCGAGGTCATGTGGGCGGCATGACTAAACACCAAGGCGCACGGAACGCTGTTACCTTCCCACCGAAGTGGTCCCTATTTATCTACTTGCAATTTCTTGCTTTCGAACTGCTAGGTTGGCAGGAGCTGTAACTAGAGACGGGAGCTCACTCCGTCATGCGGCAACCCGGGTCTCGAACTGCTGAACTACCGAGCTTCCATAGCCTGCAGTTCAGCGTCTTAACCACTTGAGCCACCTCAGCTCCTCAGGCTTGTGTAGCTTAGCCCTAAAGTCACATTGTGAGGGACAAACTTGATGGTTGCACATCTGGCTCTTTAAATATGAGACTGCATCTATCATGTGTGGAGAAGGAAAGAGAACTGGAAAACTCATGTTAAGAGTGAAGTGTCTTGCAGGCAAGCAATACTGAACTGTTCCACCACCGGACGGTTATCTCGCTGTGGCTTGGCTGTCCTCTAAAGTTACTTTTCCCTCAGCTGGTTTCCGATACTGAAAGTGATCCAGGCTGGGAGAACAGTACCAGGAGCAAGTAGACACAGTCAAGATTCAGTACCTCTCAACCAACCTTTTTGCTCTTGAACTCAACCCCAAGCCCATAGGGAAGACCCACATTTAAAGTGATGGGACCATTGCTATCACATCTAGTTCAACTAGCATTAGGGGCACACTTTCTGTGTAATATGCATGGCTTTATGGAGAGGAAAGCCATTCCTAATCTCTGAGTAGTCCATTCCATACCTGCGATAAATGTCTCCAGCGCTGTTTACTCCATACACATCTCCTTCTGTCCCAACCTCAATCATGGAAAGCGCGCCAGGCACGTTCTCCCACCTGTATCCGGCGCAGAAATCTGGGGTGACACCATGCCGGTAAAAGATGGTGTCAGCTGAGTTAACTCCCCAGCAACCCAGTGGCCCACAGGAGTAGTATTTGAGTTTTCCTTCAATTTGGACCCAGGGCAGTGCTGAGTTGCCATCAGCAGCGATAGCTGATGATTTGGGTAGGCAATAGACGTCATCATACATGTTGACTCCAACAATAAAATTGCTTCCACCTGCATCAATTTGTTTCAGCAAGCCTGAAAAGTAGCAGAAAGATCTAAGTCTACACAACATGAGACCTGAAGCTGAGCAAAACAGAACTGAATAAAGTTTGCTCCCAACATATGTTTGTCCCCATATATAAAGTTTGGTAATGACTATATTCCAGATAAGCCTCTGACTATTTAAGGATTTGTTGAATATTGAAATATCTGTTTAACATCCTATATTATTTTCAGTATACCACAGTATTTGATAGTTGATGTGTGCAACTTTATTTACTGAATTTAGATGTAGTCTTTCACCTCATTTTGGGGCTCAAGACATATCATGATTTGATTTTTTCAGTTTTCCAAACACTGGTGTTTCTGCAATATAGGGAAGATAGGTACCTCGGCTCATCTAGTTATTGAATATCCCTCATTCAATGAGAAGAGACAGAGATGGATTACCCTGATATTTGAGAAGAATGAGCTCATGAATATTAATCAGAGCTTTTCTTTTCTTTTACCAGATAAGGACCCATACATCACCAGGTCACTGGCATCCTACCTTTTAGCAACCCAGCTTAAAATTAAAAAACTCTTGTGACTGGAGTGAGTTTACCCCCCCCCCCTTTGTGTGATTAGGCTTAAGGCTGTGGTCAAAAGATCCATATCAGTAAAGGAAAGGAACTTTTCAGTTTGAAACTGAATTCTGGCACACTGAATATTTGCCTTTTCACTTGTCCAACAAAGATATAACCGAATTTCAAAATATGTAAGAAGAAATCAGCTAGGGATTAAAATCATGTGTATGCTTAGGTTGGCATACCGTAAGCGTTTTCATTGTTTTACCCCCTTGTAATCAAAACCTGGTGTATAAGCATAACGGTATGTCCAACCAATCATATAAATTAATTTCATCAACATGGGGTGGGGGTTGGAAATCTAACATACTGGCAGATGGTACAATTAGAAAATGCTCTTGTATTTTCCCCCTTCAGCCAGGTGTACTTCCAGGTCAAGAGCCTAGCTGGCAGAAATAATGGAAGAGCATTTTCAGTGGAGTATAAACACAGGCAAAGGCTTATACTCCTTCAACTTGCCAGTTCTCCCCACATACACATTTTTTCTTATTAGGAAAATATGGGCTTGTGGTTCTTCTGAACTAACGTCTCACTGTCACAGAAGCAGAGATAAGTGCATGATTTATACAGATGGCTGTGCTTACTTTATGAAAATATAATTTGGGTTTAAAACACATTCTGTCTTCTACATCCATCTCTGTTTATTTCTCCTCCTTTCACACACACATACACACACAACACAAAGCGAGCTGTCTTAAAATACCTGTAACCTGCTTCCAGTTGCCGCCCACCAGTCTATAGACGTTGTAATTCGAGTTCACACCCCAGACGCCATTAAAACCGGTTGTGACATGGGTCAATAAGCCTGGTAATTGGGTCCATGTGGTTCCGTACAGGGTATAAATATTGCTTGCTCTGTTCACACCAAAGACTTGTCCGTTGCTGGCATCGATCTGTGTGAGAACTCCTGGCACCACAGTACACTGCAGAGCTGGAGGGGGGGGGGGGAATGGAAAGGAAAATATCAAAAGCATGGATTTATGAGCAAATGGAGAAACTCCAGAAATGAGGGGAAAGACTGAGTGGATGCCAAAATATGGAGGCCACCACTCCAAAGGGGCACCACAACTGACTGCTTAGAGTACTCTCTGCCTTGGGCTTTTTATTCCTTGCATTTTTCTTCCTTGTCTGGTGAAATTGTTAGGGGTCCCCAGTGCGATGCCTGTGAGCATCACAGTGCCTGTTGCCACCTTTCCTGGCACCCACAAAGTATTCCTAGAAAGTGGGTGGGGTTAGGTGGGGCTCAAGGCTCTTCTTGTAGCAGGAACTCCTTTGCATATTAGGCCACGCCCCCCAATGTAGCCAATCCTCCAAGAGCTTACAGAGCTCTTCTTACGGTGGCTACTGTAAGCTCTTGGAGGATTGGCTACATTAGGGGTGTGTCGCTTAATATGCAAATGGCCTTCTGATTGGTCATTGGAGATCAGATTGACTGAGCAGATTTTTTGAAAACTTTGCTTTATCAGCAGTTGCCACCACTGCAGAAGGATCGTCACTGTCCCACTGAAAGCAAGATGCAGCAGCCATTTTATGTCTGCCTCCACATCCTGTGGACACAGTGACAGCAATTTTGTGACAGCCATTTTGTGCTGTGCCCACCACACTGTCTCAGGATTCCTCACACGCTCAGTAAGGTTGGGGACCCCCGGGTGAGAGTGTCAGATTAGCAGAGAACCAGGCTCAAATCCCCACTCTATCATGGAAGCTTGCTAGGTGACCTTGGGCCAGTTACACACCCTCAGTCTAATCTACTTTCCAGGGAGGCTGTGGTGATTAAAGGAAGGAGAGGAGAACAGTATAAGCTGCTCTGGGTCCCAGTTGGGGAGGAAAGGGAGGTTTAAAGGAAGTAAATACACTTCAGAGCATGGGTGGAGTGTACATAATAGAGAAGCTTTGCTGAAACTAAACAAGTTTTAGGTCTGATCAGCGCTTGGGTGGGAAACCACTTAGGAATCCTCCAAAAGCCACACTAGGTGCGTTCAGATGGGGCGTTTCAGCCGGCATAAACTGTACGGGTTGTAACCGGTGCAGTTTATGCCGGCTGAAACGCGATCACACTCACCTCCTGTCTGCGGATCCCATCGCTGTATGCCCGTTCACACATAGCGGGCATCGGTGTTGGTTTTTTTGTTTTTTAAACTCAGTTTGAGCATGCGCATAGGCAGCCATCCACAGAATGGCGATCTTCGCGCATGCGCAAAAAACCCTGTCTGACATTTAAACTTTAAAGGTAAGGACTTACCTTTAAAGTTTAAAGAGCAAAGTAGCCTCCCTGAGGTCCCAGACGCCTCCGAAATGCTAAACTAAGGCCCTTTTCTTTTCTTTTTTAAACAAACGCCAGGGCGAAGCTTCGCCCAAGCGCATATCACTGACCTTTTAAAAAAATGGCAGGCGAAAATCGGAAGCCTCAGGCTTCTGAACAGAAGTGGCTCTGCAACGGTGGAGAGCGATCAGACCGGGGGGGGGGTGTTTAAAGCGATTACAACCGTTGCACTCAGGATACCACCACTTGGGGACCTAGTGTAAAGCTCTTTGCAACGGTTAGGGACGGAAGGCAGATGTTCTACGTGTGAATGCCGGTAAGTACACCAATTCCAACCGGCACCTATACCGTTGTAAATGCCCCATCTGAACGCACCCAGAGAGTCCCATGGTGGAAAAAAGCTGGGGCATACGTATTGGCATAAAAAGAAAAAAGGTACAACATGGCCAATTTACAGAGAATTTCAATTATAAAAACCATCAAGCATCACATAGAAAATCTAGACTTTTGCTCCCTGATTGTTATGGCAGCCAGAAGGTACCTTGCAACTGAACTTGTGATGTGGGAATATCAGTCAGATAGTAAAAGAGATACTAACTTTGCCTCAGATAGACAGTGAAGGTTAGACACCATAGGTTTAATTATACAGTCCCGCACTTCCCCGTAAAAATCACAATGAAGTAGAACATGGGCTACAGTTTCTGAGTGAAGGAAGCTGGGGCATACGTATTGAACATGGCACATCACTAAATGAAATGAATCATAATATAAGGAGACAGTTCTGAGAAAGGAAGGATGGTTGCCAATGAGTATTTGTTTTTAATTTGTTTTTGTAGGGCTTATTCCACATAGAGACGATCCTCCATGGTGTTGCTCCTGCAGAAAAGGCATTCACAGTGGCAATGGAACATCCAATTGTAAGTTTCCCCCTCACTTTCTTGTCTCAGTCCTTTGTGGCTACCATTTTCCACTCCGCAACCAGAGAGCTACTTTGAGGCTTAATAAACCTCAGCAACAGCTATAATGCTATAGCATAATATTTTAACAATCTGTTGTAGCAGTCTACTAGTCCCCAGCTTTCAATGCAAAAAAAAAAAAAAAGTGTCTAGCACTCTCCATTAAAGAATTATAGGAAGAAACGTGCAGCCAGAATCTTTTCCTTTATAACTCCGCAGCTAAAAGGGCTAGATACTTTTTCAGAAAGAAAGAAACTAGTATATTGTTACAATAGACATCATGTTACAACATCATAGTAATATAGCTATTACTTTTTTTTTTTAAAGGCCCCAAAAAATCCTCTAGTGGAGGAAGGAAATGGCCATTGCAAGCACTGAGGTAAGGAAAATGGTGCCATTGAGGGCCGGACCTGAAAAAACATGCATCTTCCCATCCACACATTATCCAAAGCTTTAGCTATGATCTTTGAAAATGATTGTATTAGACCAAGGTTGGGAAAGATCACAGCGAATTGGAGGAAAATGCAGAAACAGGATAAATAGTGGATGGCATGCTATGGCTACTGCTGAAAACGATGCTGTTGAAAGGGAGCCAAGGAACAGCAAAATCTCCCTGTGGAAACAAGCTAGTTTTCAGTTGCTTCTTGAGCACAGCACAGGGCTTGACTGTGTGAGTATCGTGCCGTCAAGTCACGACTGACTTATGGCGACCCCATAGGGTTTTCAAGGCAAGTGATTAAGCAGAGGTGGTTTGCCCTTGCCTTCCTTTGCAGAGTTGTCCTTGGAGGTCTCCCTTCCAAGTACCACTGACCCTGCTTAGTTCCCCAGGTTTGACAGAATCGGGCTATACCATGCCACCTTCCCCCCCACAGGGCTTGACTAGCCCCTAAAAATAATTATCTAGGGGTCTAAGTACACAATACACTATTCTGTCTCCGAGTTCTATCAAGCAGATGTGCAGTGTGAGTTTCCGGATGTAATTTAATTTTCAGGCATGTAGAGGTTCTCTTTGGATCAGACTTGTGGTGTGTGGTTGCGGTTAGAGGAAAAACACTCCTTCCATTTGTAATTAATTGTTCACCTCCCCCCAGAGTACCCTGGAATGAAGATATATGTGCTATAATAGGGAGGGAGATGTGTGTCCAGACCCAGTTTTCCTCACCAAACTCTACTATGTAGAGAGGGAGATTAAAACAGACACACATCTTCTCTGGGCTGCTTCAGTTTTAGGTTAGACAAGCCTTTTTTTCCACAAAGGCCAGTGCTGTATGGGCACTGCACTGTAATGGTAGGTTGCTGAGAGTCAGAACTAGACAAGAGAACTCAACACTACTTCCCGGTCGTCAATCCTCCTTCCTACAATTCCTTGTGAGCCTAGGGTTGCCAGCTCCGGGTAGTGAAATTCCTGGAGATTTGGGGGTGGAGCCTGGGGAGGGTAGTGACCTCAGCAGGGTATGACTGTCGCGCTCTCCCTTGGACTTCGGTGCGGCGCCCCCAGTGGCCGTGGCGTCGGGGGTCTCGAACAGACTCCGGCAGGGGAGACGGCCCTTGGAGCAGCAGGATCCAGAAAGGGAGAGGGAGTGAGGGGCCTCAGATAGGGAGGGGACAGGGTTAATGTCACCCTGAGAGTCCCTTTGCCAGTGCGCTGCGGACTTCCTTCCACTCTCTCTGTCGTCTTTCCGTCTCTCTGGTCAGTGTCCCACTTCATTCCACAGCACACTCCTCCTCCCCGGCCCCTTTTCCACCCTGCCTTTTATCCCTGCCCCGCTCCCAGGATCGCCCATCCGCCCTCTGGCTTGGGCTACGCCCTTCTTTATCTATCTGGACGCCGGTGGGGCATCTCTGGGGCAAATGCTGATACGCCGGCGGTGGCTCTGGCGGCCTCTGGGCCTGCTGCCGCCACCGATCTGCAGTGGTACTCACTGCTCCGCGTCTGCTCCTGGCCCATCGGACAAGCAGCCGCTGCCCCTCTCCTCTTCCGTGGGGTTGCTCCGTGGACCCCGGTCCTGTCTCCGGGCTTGGCTGACATAGCTTGCTGCGGGAGGGGTCCCCGCTCCTGACTCACTCCCCGGACTGTCAAACTTTGTCCCGTCTGGTGAATCCTGCCTAGGGTGTCTTGCGGGGTCTGTCGGGGTCCCCTTGGCTCGTTCTGCATGTCCTGTGACCTCTGGAGTGGGACAATGACATCATAGAATCCACCCTCCAAAGCAGCCATTTGCTCTAGGACAACTGAACTCTGTCATATGGTCTCTGTCATCTGACGATCAGTTGTAATTCTGGAAGATCTCCATGTCCCAGATGGAGGCTGGCAACCTTACTTGGCCTCTCATTTGTTCTTCAGCTTTTCCATCAGACTTTCTAAATGATATTCTTTGCAGGTGACTCCACCTGTACTCACATGAAAATTCTACCTCTACTAACAAACCTATCTCTCCATATTTAGAAGGGAAGGCAGCATGGTATAGCCCAATCTCATCAGATCCTGGAAGCTGAGCAGAGTTAGTAATTTGGAAAGGAGACCACCAAGGAAGACTCTGCAGAGGAAGGCAATGACAAACCACCTCTGCTTCGTGCTTGCCTTGAGAACCCCTTGCTGGGGTTGGCAGAATTCGGCTACGACTTAATGGCATTTACACTCACACATAATATTTAGAGGTGTTTAAATCTGATTTTAAAAATCTGGGCTCCTCATTCTCAAGGGAGTATGTTTAACTTTCCCTGCCATTTGAACATTCTCTCTTCTTAGGGTTGCCAGACCTCCCTTCCCGGCCACCGGTGGGGGGATGGGGACAAGGGTTGCCAGATCCAGGTTGGGAAACTCCTGGAGATTTGGGGATGGAGCCTGGGGAGGACAGGGACCTCAGTGGGGTACAATGCCATAGAGTCCACCCTCCAAAGCATCCATTTTCTCCAGGGGAACTGATCTCTGTAGTAGGGTTGCCAAGTCACTTACCCTTAAAAGCGGGGGAGAGCTGGTCCTGTCCCAAGACATTTGCGTGCACGTGCCACGATGATATCACTCGGAAGTGACGTCATCACATTGGGCACGCCACCGGCTGACACCATTGTGCCAGGCACGTTGGCCCGAACTGGGCACTTTGGGGGCGGTGTTTACCCCGCCAGCCCGATCTGGACCAGCAGATTGGGGGCCCTTTGAGCGGGGGAACCTCCTCCCTCTCAGGGGACCTGGCAACCCTACTCTGTAGTCTGGAGATAAGCTGTAATTCTGAGAGAACCCCAGGTTCCACCTGGAGGCTGGCATCCCTGTCCCTTCTCCAGAGTGAACTGTAGGCCTGCCATCAATACCTTCCACCTGAATGTAGTGTGTTGTGACAATGAATGAATTCCTCTGCAAATGGTTGCAATTCTGCCCCCCAAGGCCTTTAAGTGCCCCATATGCTCACAGAAGCTGCAGGCTGTTTCTGTGTAAAGGACACATTTGCACTTACCTGAGGTGATGCCACACAAGGAAAACAGAAGGAACGAGCACTCACGAAGGCCCCTCATCATGTTCAAGAGAAGCCTTGGTTCTTGGGTGGAGAGAAACACATTTAGATAGCAGCACTGAACATCTCTTCCCAAAGTAAGGTAGGCTGAAGCAGATTGCCCCAATCTGTGGAACTTCCTAACATTTCACCTCACCCTTACTCAAAAGTGCAATGCGGGTGCAACTGGCTTCAGTGAAAATTTCTAGCTGCCTGATGAAACATTAGATTAGTTGACAAATTGTAGAGGCTTGCAGCAGGCAGATAAGGAAGGCTCACTCCAGGCAGTGGAGGCGTAACAGTGAAGAAAGGGGAAAGGTGCAGCACAATGGGGGCATGGGCAATTTTCCTATTTGATTTAAAAGACACAATGGGGAACTTTGCGTCCCAAACTTTTGAGGACATATTTTGGAGCCACAAATCTGGAGCACCCATGAGCAGGATAGAGGAAAGGATTTTGCAAGTAATGATTTTCTGTTACCTCAGGACTGGTGAGAGAAACCTGTTGGGCTTTACTGGGCTTCCTTGCTGGCTGGCAGGAATGATAATGGTTGACAGATGCAACAGAGGTAAAGGTAAAGGTTCCCTTGCTCGAAAGCCAGTCGAATCCGACTCTAGGGTTGCGGTGCTCATCTCCATTTCCAAGCCGAAGAGCCAGCGCTGTCCGAAGACGTTTCCATGGTCATGTGGCCGGCATGACTAAACACCAAGGTGCACGGAACGCTGTTACCTTCCCACCGAAGTGGTACCTATTTATCTACTTGCAATTTCTTGCTTTTGAACTGCTAGGTTGGCAACAGAGGTACTAGACTATTTTCTCAAACAGAGCTCTACAATAGTAACCAGCAGAACTTCAACTTATAACTTTCTCTCCCCACCTGCTGCTGTATCTTTTAAAACTAATAACAAAAGACCCGAAGGAAACTGTGCAAAATGCGCTTGTAATACATTACAGGTAAGTATAAATATATAAAGATACAGTGATCAACAACTCTCATAAATATCTCCTTCTAGGTATACAAAAGAGAGGTCCTCAGCAGAACAAATGGATGGATGACAAAATTCTCTGGAGTAAACTTACGTTTTGTAGAAAACTTCCTCTGAAAGTCAAAAGCCGTCTCTCCTATTTTCATAGATTGCAATCTTTTCCATACAAAGTAATATACAAAATCCTAATCCATTATATACAGTGGCTCTTACACAAATTCTCACAAAGTCTGACTTTATTTATTTATACTTACCTGTTATCTATTATAAGCGCATATTGCACAGTTTCCTTTGGGTCTTCTGTTATTAGCTTTTGTGGCTGTGACCTTCTCGGTGTTCTTTTTCTGTATCTTTTAAAACAGCAGCAATAGACAGCAGTGACCGTTACCATAATTTGCCTTACCTTAGTTTCCTGACAGATCAGGCTGTTGTGAAGAATTTCTGCCTACATGATGCAGTTGAAGACAAGACTATTTATAAGTCACCTCCCTGAACACACCTCCACTCTCCTGATCCACAGGAGGGGCTAAACATTTGGCACTGTTTCCAGTGCACATGTGTTTAACCAAATTTTCATATTTGGATTTTTGGGTGGGTTGGGTTTATAAGAAGGAAAACAAACAAGGATATTTTTAAGTCCTGTCTTTCAATTAATAGAAAACTATCAGTTTACCTGAGGCAAGTTTGCAAAAGTCTCACTTCCACAGGCTAAATCTCTGTTGCAATTTCCTGGTGACTGTCACTTTCTGGTTTTAACTGGAAACAGTTTCTGCTGATCAAAGGTCACCTTTGCTTATTGTAAATATTATCCTGTAATCCAGTATTGTTTAATTTTTATCATAGGTATTATACTGTTTTATTGTACATTTTATACATGGGGCCACCCTTGGAAAGCGTTCTGAAACTTCAACTGGTGCAGAATGCTTCGGCCAGTATGTTTACTGTAGGGACTGTATGTTGTAGGGACTGGAGTGGGTTGTAGGTAAACTAAAGGGCTTTGGCCTGGAATGTAGGATAGTTATGCAGATAGGGAACTGGTTGGAGAACCGAACTCAGAGAGTAGTTGTCAATGGCATTTCATATGAATGGAGGGAGGTGTCCAGTAGGGTCCCACAGGGTTCGGTTCTGGGCCCAGTACTTTTCAATATTTTTATAAATGATCTGGATGAGGGTGTGGAGGAGCTATTAAATTTGCAGATGACACTAAATTGGGAGGAGCAGCAAACACACCAGAAGATAGAGATAGAATTCAATGAGATCTGAACACGCTGGAAAAGTGGGCAGATGTGAATAAGATGCAATTTAACAAGGATAAGTGCTGAGTTCTACAGATAGGTAACAAAAATGAGGAACATGCATACTGGATGGGGAATATACTTCTGAGTAGCAGTGTGTGTAAACAAGATCTTGGGGTATTGGTGGACCAAAAATTAAATAAAAGCAGCCAGTGTGATGCAGTGATAAAAAGGGCTAATGCAGTCTTAGAGTGTATTAACAGAAGCATAACATCCAAATCGCAAGATGTGATAGTCCTGCTGTACACTGCATTGGTCAGGCTGCACCTGGAGTATTGTGTGCAGTTCTGGAGGCCTTATTTCAAAAAGGTTGTGGACAGAATGGAGCGAGTGCAAATGAGAGTGACGAGGATGATTGGAGGCCTGGAGACCAAGCTCTATGAGGAACGGCCGAGGGACTTGGGAGTGTTCAGTCTGGAGAAGGGGAGGAGGAGGGGGGACATGATTGCTCTCTTTAAGTATTTGAATGGCTGTCACTTAGAGGAGGGCAGAGAGCTGTTGTTGGCAGCAGAGGAGAGGACTTAGTATAAAGGGTTTAAAATAACATAAGAACACATGAGAAGCCAATGTTGGATCAGGCCAATGGCCCATCTAGTCCAACACTCTGTCACACAGTGGCCAAAAACACCAGGTGCCATCAGGAGGTCCAGCGGTGGGGCCTAATTAGGATATTAGGATAAATTTTTACAGTAAGAGTTCTGCAACAGTGGAATCAGCTGCCTAGGGAGGTGGTGAGCTCTCCCTCACTGGCAGTCTTTAAGCAGCAGCTGGACAAACACTTGTCAGGGATGTTCTAGGCTGATCCTGCATTGAGCAGGGGGTTGGACTGGATGGCCTGTATGGCCCCTTCCAACTCTGTGATTCTATGACCATATCCCACCAAACGTGGCCCGTCTACACTGGCTTCCAGTCTGTTTTCAGGAACAATTGAAGGTACTGGTGCTGAATGTTAAAGACCTATATGATTTGGGACCAACTAGGGATCCCAAGTCCCCCCGGGGGGTGGGGAAACCCCCGCCCCAGAGGCCTGTTCCCCGGCGGCGCAGGATCGGGCCCCGGGGAGAACTCCACCCCAACGTGCGCATCACCCAGAAGTGACGCGGGCACGCCGGGGCACGCTGGGGGCGGGGCCACAGCCATACAAGGGCTGGCGTCTTCCCATCACTTCTGGGTGACGTGCGTGTGGTGCACGCACGCGCACAGGATGCCGGCCAGGAGCCCCCTGCTCCCGGCGAAGATACACTTGGCAACCCTAGGACCAACATACCTAAGGGACCAACATACTCCCTTATGAACCTACCCAAGCACAATGGTAATATTTAGACACCCTGCTTCAGGAGTAGGGTTGCCAAATCCTGAAACCTTACCGGCGGGGGAGGCTCCGTCCTGGTCGGGAGCTGGCTGTGCGTGTGTGTGTGTGCGCGCCACCGTGACGTCACCAGAAGTGACGTTAGACGTTGCTGACGTTGGGGGCGTGGCCAAGCTCGTCGGGGGAGAAACATATGGTTCCCCCCCCTGACGAGCTCAGCCACGCCCCCAACGTGGCTGCGTCAGCTCTGGTGACGCAGCTTCGGGGGCGGGGGTCCCCCGGGCCCCGATTCTGCCGGGGCAGGACTCGGGGCTCCGAAGCGGGGGATTTCCCGACCCCCGGGGTGACT